TATAAGCTGCTAAACATCTGTCTCTTTCACTTGCTGGCTGCATTTCAGTACTGGATGAATGAGTCCTATATTCACAGTTAATAAGTGCTTTGGGATCCCAGCATTAGCTCTATGCACAGTACCACAAACATATGCAATTCTATGGAACATATGAAGTGACTACTATTCCTGAGAGGCTGAAGCCTAAGAGTTCCTGTGGGACAAAGGACACAGAGAAATGTAATTGATTGTAATGAATTTGTGTGTGTATGTCACCACTTGTCTCTACTGAATAAAATCAGAAGTGTTCAACACTCCATTAACACAAATTATAGGGTCCTATTCTTCTGGAGTGAGACAATAAGGCTACACCTGCTAGCGCTGTGAGTTCCTCATGATCCCAGCACGCAGCTCAGTGACAGGCATCACAGGCTGACATGGTCTTGGATTTGTTTCAATGTCACGAACATTCAGCCAAATAGATAGAATTCAGCTTTGTGGTAATTCAAATTCAGCTTTGTGGTAATTTCTTGGGAATCAATGAAAAGACACCAGGGATAGATCCTACCACCAGGGTAAAAGAAGAGATGCTAGGTGATCATAAGGGAAAAATCCCCATACTCTCCAAGTAACTACTAACATTTTTATACATTTAATGGAGTCAAGATTTTTACCTAGTTAACCATGAATGCAATGATCTTTGAAGTGTGTTTCTCCTCTGTGGACAGAAGCACTTCAAGGATAGTTTCCAAATGCTTGGAGTTGATCTTGCTACAGAGTCTGTCTTTACCCAAGTAAACACTGTGAGCAGCTGTTTATACAGTATAGATGCTATTTCTTTTTTATTTCTATGTGCTACTGGTAGTGATATTGTATCTATATGTGTCTATTATATGTGCACCATGGTGAGAGCCAAAGCTGTTCTGGAAATGCTTTTTCAGGTCTCCATACGTGAGAGATTAGGAATAGGACCTTTTTCTGTCTAAAGGCAGGATCTACTTTTATTTGGGAAGGAGTTTGCAATGAGGGGGGATAAAGTGTAAGTTTTATAGCTCTTGCCCTTCCCTCCTCTCTAGTTCTCTGCTTTGCATTCTGCCTGCTGCCCAGTCCCCTCCACACGCCGTCAGTGAGATGGAGGGTAACCAGAGAGCCGGGTGCCGGCCAGCTCGGGGGTTTGTAACACAAGACAGAGCCATTCTTTTCTGGGTCACCAGCTCCCATTTGGCCTAGGATGCTCCTGTCTGACGGCTGTCTGTGATGTGTGAGTTCAGTCGGTGGCTCTCTGTGCAGCTGCCAGAAGGCAGGTGTCCTCCCCTTCAAAGGGGAACAAGGTCGAGCAGGCCATGGAGACGGGACCTGAAGTGGGCCTCTTCAGGTCAAGGTGCACGAAGCTGGTGTGCACAGAAAATCTGTCCCTGTCACCCAGGTGTTGAGATATGTTCACTCTCTATACTCTTTGCATTCTTGATAGACTTCTGGTTAAAAGTATTAGAATAAAAACTACCTCAGATGTTTGTTACAGGCAACAGCGATGTGAGCCATAATAACTTTTGCTTCGTTCCTTTCGCTGTCCTTCACCCTTTTCCTTCCCCTGCCACCCTCCCAGATGACAGGGGCTGCACCTGGTGCAGCAGCAGCTCCTTGGTCCCTCTTCCAAACCTCTGGTGTCAAAGAACAGAAGCCAACGGCGTCCGCTTGTGGCTCAGCCCTTTACAAAGGTGCAATAAATGGAGCCTTGCATACAGGATAAAGCAGACCCTGCCTTGTCTTTTGCTAAGAGACCTTTCTGTGCTAGAAATGCTCTGAGCTGGAGGAAGCAGCTCAGCCTGCATCGACATGGTGGTGAATCCCACGGTCCCTGGGCTTTCTCTTGGCCATGGCCTGTGTGTGTTTCCTGCTTCACTTGGGAGCACCATCTCCTCAGCCCGTGTGGTGGGAGAGAGGGAGTGCTGATGGGTGGGAAGAGAGCTGGGGGCCTGTTTCATGCTCTCCTCAAAACAAATTGGGAAAACATGACCAGATTTGAGAGAGGGTCTCAGGTGACAGGATAAAGGACAGTCAAGACAGATCCCCAAAGCTGGTCTCTCTGTGCTTGTCTTTCAACTCTATCCCCTGCCTTTCTGGAGGTTTTTTCCAAGTGCAGAGCCACCAGCTGTGCAATGCTGCCTCACAGAAACGCGCTTCTTGTTAAGCAGCCCTTTTATCAATATATGCAACCACACTTTTAATTGCAGACCAAAATGGAGTTGGAAACCACACCACAGTGGTGTTAGAGGGTTTCCTGCGAGGGCTTGCATGGTGATTTCAATGGTATGCCACAGGGGTATTTATTGTAGGGTCTTTTGTGAGGACTTAATGGCTGCATGCCATTTTTTCTGAAACAAAAAAGCAGTGCTTTCTAGAATGTGCTTTAAAATAAAACATGAGTACTTTCACAATTTGAAAATCAGCATTTGCTAGCAGATACCACATGGGGGGGGTGTCTGCAATACAAGAAACTCCTTTGTATTTACTATGGGAAAAACTCTGATGACTTTGTCTGTCGCATAGATAAATATTGTCAAAGTGTCACTTTAGGGATGCCTCCTGCTCAGTACATCTCAACAAAAAGCATGGGTGCTTGGAGGTCCCCTTGCTGGCTGCCCACTCCTACTTCCCACTGGGAAGCTCCACTTGGGAGGTCCTTGTGTAGCTCTTGCCACTTCATCATTGCCCTCCTGAGCAGCTTTGTGACTGGTTAAAGTAATGTCCTGTTAAATAAGCATTACTTTGAGCAGTCTACCAGTGACAACCTCCTGTCTCTTCTCTGACGTACTCAACATGTTCACTCCTTGCTCACCTTTTGCTTTTTCTGGTCTTTTCCCTTTCCATCTCCCGCTCCTTCCCCCTTCCCAGATGCCCCAACAGCTTCTTCCTGGAGCAGGGCAGCCTGCTGAGGCTGCCCCGCAGCCCGGCACAGCAGAGCGGGCTGCAGCCACAGCGGGTTTCAGCGCGCTGCTGTGCGGGACCTTTGGTGGTGGCCATGGCCAGCTTTGTGTTGGACAGACCCTGCTCGTGTGTTTGCCCCATGCGGCTGGGTGGGAGTGAGCAGAACGTGGCTCCTGAGTGTTGTACCTGTGTGGAATAGACTCTTGAGGTAGCTCCTTGTCAGTAATGGTGGTGGTGTCTTGTACTGCTCCCTGCTTCCTCCTATGCTTCCGAACTGCATGGGTGTCTTCTCTGACCACCGCTCTGATTTCCCAAACACCACCTCAGCTCAAGTCTGCCTGTGAGCTTACAGTTTCTCTGCCTTCGTGTTCACATTGTGCAGCAAACAGTCTGCTCCTTCCTTTTGCCCTTGGTCTCGCCTCTTGTTGCCTTCTATTCTCAGGATGTGCTTTGCTGCCTGAAACTTGCTTTCTATTCCCACCTAAAATACTTATTTCCAGGTGAACCTTCAGTGCTCAGTGTCCTTCCAAGTTCCCATGCCAAAACATCAGATATCGGATACAGTTATGTGTTTAAAAAAAGGAAAGGTAGCAAATAACACTCACTAGATTTGACATATATGTTTAGCAGACACTATGGAAATTACTCCAGCTGCTGTGCAGCAGTCCCTCCCCTCTTCATGTGTTGCTTTGTTTGGATTATTAACTCCTTAGGGAAGGGTGACTTGATAAGTATGTGATGACCTAGGTGCACTTTTCCTCAAAGAAGTTGAGGGCCATTGCAGAGTGATCAAAAAAATAACCAACAGACATAAACAAAAAGGCAACACACACAGGAGTCATTTGCTCACCACTGAAAAGCAAGTGCACACCTAGGTTGGACAGGAGCTGGGAATACTGATGGAAATGGGGTGAGGGGGATGAGTATGTTGTAGACTTTGGCATGTAGCGGGGCAGCCAGCACCCCACGCTCCTGGGCTTGTGGCACAAGTGCTTTGGGAACTGCAGTAACCCAAGTGTGAACGCGCTGCTTTGAAGCCTCACGTGGGAGGCCATCCCTGCGGCAGCACGGCTCCTGGGCCAGGTACTGGCTGTCTGGGAGGAGTGCTGCTGCTGGGCTAGACCCTGCAGTTTCCTCAAGCCAGTTCATTTTTCCTGTGGAGGACTGCATTCCAGTCAAAATACTGATCTGGTCTAATCCTGTGAGATTGTGGGGGTTCCTCCCTCAAGGTGTTGTAATAAGTGAAGCTATTTGAGAGCAAGACTAAACTTATGAGGATGCGGGAGAGGCAATTTTTTTTAAGTGTTTTCTCTGGGGTTAGTGGACTTTGCCCTAAACAGATACTACCTTGAAAGATTTGCCTCTTCTGTGGTCAATATAATCAGTTACATAGCCTTGCTCTTCTCCTTTGTAAAGGATTCAATTATTCTGGGAGTAATGTGATTGATTCCAAAAAGCAGTCTTGGTCTGAATCCAGCATCCTGTTAAAAGACAACAAGTGGGACATGCAGATTTCTGGTACTGTTTCTCCCCCACCCCCAGCACTGTCTGCAATGAAGGATGTTTTTTTGGGAATGATGGGCAGGAGGAATGAAAAGGAATGGTCTCTCTTCCAGACTTCAGGACTACTTTGAGTGAGTCATAAATTCACATGGCCCCTCAAAGGGGAGCAGGTTCCTCTTTTCTTTTGAAAACTTGCTTGAATTTATGCGCAATGGAAACCTACTGCAGGCAGGTGAGTTGGATTTCTTTGTTTTGCATTTGTGTGTGACGTATAGCAGAATATTTTAACCAATATTCTTACAGGAGCTGGCGTAGCTTGGATCTACCTGATTCCAGAAACTCACTCCAGACCGACACGATGGTGGACTTGCTTTTACATGCACAGTGGAGAGGCAGTCAAAGCCTTCTCCCTTGCATGACTACAGATGGGTGGCCTTCAAAAAACCTAATTACTTCTGGTTTTGCATGAAATTGATTTCCATGCAAGGATACTGCGTTGCTGTGTGCATCTCTAATGGCTTTTCTCTCTTCTCTCTCTTTCTCTCTTTTTCTTTTTTCCCTTTCTGCTTACCATGAAAACACCTCAACAGATGTCAATCATATTCCAGGTAAGTGTTATCTTTGAGCTGAAAGATTATTCTTTAAGGTGCTTGGGTGCAGCTACCAGAGGCAGGAGTCGTATCCCGTGAGCGTGCAGAACAAATGTTCGCGCTGGACACCAAAAGGTCTGGATGGCAAAGTCTCTGAAAAAAAGAAGGGCTTCACAGAAGCAAATGTCACAGACGCTCCTCTTTAGAGATTGCTATGTTGGTCAGTTAAAGGAATGCCTTCTGAATGAAAATTACATTAGAATGATTGCTTATGTTGCTAATAACCTGGCATTTGATTGTATACTTTATACTGTTTATTTATTCTAGATTTTCATGCAGTTCCAAAACAAGTTCATTCTCCCACTGTAGACTACTCTGTCTACTGGTCCCACTGAAAAACTAATGAGCTTCTTTTATACTAACTCAGGGAAGACTTTGGTTTTGTTTGTTTGAAAATGAATGAGCGCTTTCTGAGCAAAATGTGCAAAATGTGAATGTGTGGTCTTATTTGTGTGATCTCTGAAGCCTTCATTCCCCAAAGGGCACAAATGATTCATTTAAAAGAAAAAATGAATGTTGTTTATGTGTTTGTTCCCCCCGCCGCCCGGAAAAAAAAACTCTCTCTCAGATTGCTCTATCATTGCTGAAGGGGCTTGCTTCACCCAACTGCAACTACAAGGGTTAATTGAACTAGTCCAGCTTGCTCTGTGCTCCACGTGTTGTTGCCACTGAAGCTTAAGAGAGTAATTTTTACTTCATGCTCAGGCAGCTCCACCTGGTATATCACTTTGTGAAATCGAAATGAGGGCCCAGGGAAGCAACTGGCATCTCCCTGGCTGTGAGCAGGATGATGGGAGAGGGAAGTTGAATCCTTTTTCCTTTTTCAGCTTTTGCTAATTTGCCAGACCAGACGTGGACCTGGAATGAGTTCTCAATTCAATTTTCTTCTTTTCTACAGCTGGACAATCAGATTTTGTAAAACACTATAGAGAAATGCAGTGAGAGCCAGCGGCTTGGGTAATTTCCTTGCATATTTAGCCCTTTCTGGCTTCTCTCCTCAATCCCCTTTTTGTTCTGCTCGGATCCTTTGCAGTCTGTGTGCATCTCAGCTGGCAATAACGGGGATGAAAGTGGCCAAATGGCAAATGTGGTTGTTTGGCATGTGCCTTGGGAAGAAAGGTTCTAGCAACCGTAACATTGAATTTCTGAGTGACTCTTCTGCAGGGCCCAAGCATGTGTCCCATCTGCCCCAGTTGGAGGCCCGCAGGACCTCCTCGCTCCGGGCAGGTCAGACAGGACATGCACTGTTGGCTCAGGGTGCCAGTCCTCTCCAGCCGATCTGAAGCAGTTGGTGCTGCTGGCAGAGGAGGGTGGATCCGTTGGGAAGGCCCAGCCTTGCTCCGCTTTACCAGCAGAGCTCCTGTTTTATGCCATGAATAAGTGTTGCCTTGTGCAACAGCAAGGCCCTCTTGGAGGCCTCTACAGCGTGCAGAAGTTGGCTGTGTTGCTAATAAGGGCTTGAGCAGAGGCAGCACAGTCAGGGTAGAGTACTGAGCTCTGTCACTGCTTGTTCCTAGACCCCTCTGCTCTGCTCTCAGGGGTGAGTACTGATGCTGCTGCACAGGCTTGGGTTGCAGTGTAACTGCAGAGGTTTGTGTGGGCTCTTCCCCAGTGCTTGGCTGTGCTGGGGCTTTCTCCCTATCCAGCGGATTAGCCAGCAGTATTGCAAGCATGGAGCCCAGGGCCTCTGCCAAGCATATTTTAACTGTTTGCCAGACAAACTGAGGATTTCATGAGCTAGTGTAACTATTTACCCACAAGCAGCAAGAGGGCTGCAAAAGGCCCATTGATTCATTTTACTTGTTGAATACACTGACGAGAACTAATTCCCCAGTAGAAGCAGTTTGCTCTGAACAGGCCGGGGCTGATGGTGTCATGGATCTCTGCTGGGTACAGTCCCTGCGAGGTGCAGAGAATCTGACCCCATTCAAAGCAGCAGTATTTAGTACTTGTGGAGAGGGTGACCAACTTGTGGAGAGGGTGACTAGTGCTTATGGAGAGGGTGACCAACAAGGGCTGGTGTGCTGTGCTCCTCTTGAGAACCAGCTGACAATCTCACCTAGCCCACTGCCCAGAGCAAAAGAGTCCGTGAGATGTTAGCCCATCTGCCCTGTAGGTGTTTCGTCCTGATCACAAAACAGCACCACGTTGTAAGGAGCAAAGTCAAGCAGACAGATCAGAGCCCTGGAGGCCGGAGCATCGCTGTCTGTGCTTGCCTGGTCACTGACTTACTCTGTGCTCTAGAGGGCAAAGCCCTTCTCCTGCCAAGCTTCCCTTTTCCCTGTGGGGTTATGGCTTCAGCCTTATATTACCTTCATAGCATTCTTGAAGATCCTAGACTGCACATGATAAGGTGAAGTGCTGTATCAGCATTCATGCTACCCAGATTTGTTTCTGTCAGAGCAGCTTGTTGCTGTGTGCAGCACAGATGAGAATGGGAGGCATTTGCATCCTCTGTCTGATATCTGCCCCTTTATTTGTGCTTTTTACTCTTTGCTAGTGGTCAAGAGCGCTACAAGACAAATTTCTGGGACAAGACCAGTCACTTCGTTATTTTCAGTGGAGGAATGTTTGTAGGAGAAAGGTGACTAGCCCTGATACGTAGGGGATGTTTAAGGGTGTTTTTCCTGTCCATGCCACACTTGTCCCCTCTCTGGGGGAGATCTTGGAATGTTTGCAGGGAGAAGGCTAGGAGACAAAGTCCTGGACATTTTATGGTCAGGGTTTCACTGCTGACTAGGGTTTACGTGTAAGTGAATGGGTGATCCTGTGGAAATAATCTAGTTAGGTGGGGTCTTGAGGAAAATTTTGCTTACCTAAGTAATTCCTTCATAGGAGTGCAGAGATCCTTGAAGGACTTGCACTGTTGGTGGAGACCCGTGTGTTCAGGTATGTGTTCTTCACAGGTGCCACCCCTGTTCTCATTCTTGCAGGCCCTTCTTTGCCCAGGCACCCTCCACAGATCGGTTTCTCTTGCACTGAAATATATATGTTTTTCAGCTCTTTACACATTCATTTGCAAGACCATGGCAGCAGTGATCATACTGGGTCAGAAAAGGAACTAATTTAGCCCAGAAGCCTCTCTTAAAAGGTGGGTGCTTCAGAAAAAGTTTGAGAAACAGAGTAAATTAGCACTGATCTTGCCCTGATGCACCTTTGTGGTTCTGGTAATTGCTGCTTTAAGGACTTCCTGACCTGAGATTGCATCCAGATCATAGTGTTTTACAATCACCAATAGATCTGTTTTGGGAGAGCATCCGGCCTTTGTTTTTCTTAATCCATTTATATTTTTTTCCCTCAAAGTTGTCCTGTGGTTATGATTCATGCTGTTTAATTATACAAACATGAGAAGTACTTCCTTTCGCTTACTTTTACACCTGTTAAACTGAGAACTTCGCTCAGTGCTTCCTACTCCTTGTGTTCTTACAAATAGGGACTTTTTTTTTCTGTGTTCAACTCTTCTTATTATTCAGGATTTTACCTGTATCATATGTGTTGTCAGCCATCTCTTTTCCAACGTGAAGAATCCTATTCCATGCCTAACAATGCTCCTTTTCCCCCTTGTGCACCTCACTTAGTGAGTTGTTCTGATACGTGCTGTGATTCTGTTATACATCTTTTCTAGCCATAAAGTTCAATCACGCTCAGCTCTTTCTACCTGCACAGGACCTCTTGTGCATGCAGTCATCTTTGTACACACTTGTGTACATATTTTCAGGCTTTCATACACCATGATCTTTGTAGTCCTCCCTGTGCAGATCTTCTATTTGGAATATGTCACATGCAGCGTCAAAATAGGATGAACTACTTTCTCTGTCTCCTATCTCATGCTCTTTTTCCTTTGATCATTTGGAGTAGGTGCCACTTGCCCTGACTCACTGCCCCTGTCAGTGACAAAACCTATGCTGGAATTACACGGCAGAGGAGGCAAGGGGGATGGAGCTGAGGAGCTAGCACAGCTGTTGTGTGTAATTGGATTGGAAGTGGGCCTCGGGCTACAATAACAGAACTGCACTCCCGGCTGCCCTCGCTGTTGGGCCCTGCGAGGAGCCCCTTGGCCGCGGTGCGTATCGTTGATGAATCAAACAAAAACGACTGTGCCCCAGCCCGTGCTACAGCTTTGCCTGGTTAGAAAAAATGAGTGCCATGCATGCCAGCAGCCAAGAAATCAGGTCATCCCCTTGGCAGAGCTGACCTGTCTAGCATGTAAAAGGTCTGAGCTAGGTCTCAGAATATATATATATTTTCCCCTCCCTCTTCATCCATTGCTTCAAATCCTTCCAGACAAGGATTTTGCTCTTTTCTCCGTGTCCTTTCCTTTGGCCTTTCTGGGAGTGCCTTCCCCCGCCCCTTCAGTGCATCTGGTCTTCTGAGGAAACCATGTGCTAACCACAGACTTCCTTGTTCTTTGGGTATGGAGAAAATCTCAAGATGCCTATTTGGGGAAAGGCCACTTGGGGACAAATGGAACTTGTCACCTCTCCTCCCTAATTAGAAAAGGGAACTACTGATGGAGGTCGTCAGGGCTTTGGCGGGGAGAAGCTAACTTTTAAAGATGTACTAGTTCTAGGAATTTAGGAAAGAAAGTGTCAACAATGGACCGTGTCATTTATTAGAGTGTTATGGTAGATGATATTTTTGAGAGAATCTCTGGCTTGCATGATGTCTTTCCACAGCTCTACTGTCAAGCATTTGCGTGTATATCCTGAACCAGTGAGGCCCTGCCTCAGACTCGCATCGCTGCTGGCCCCGTTCTGCCTTGGACGGGTCATGGTGCGCGGTGCCCAGGATGGGATGCTCCGCCGGCAAGCCTGCCTCTAGGGAGAGCTGGTCTGCTGCTGCCTGGCAGGGTTCGCGAAGTGCTTTTGGGCTCATCATCTGGCAGTGCCATGCAAAGGGACGTATCGAGGACACACGCCTCCACAGAGCGGTTGGGCAGTGCGCGCACAGCCGCGTGGGCCCGGCAACACTATATTAGATGGATCTGAAGGACTCCACCTTTCTGTTTTGCCTCAATTGGTTGTCACTGTCAGCTGTGTTTTAAATTCTCCCATACCCTTTTAGGCTTTAATTTGCCTTGTTTTAAGTAATAAGTACCCAAGCACCGCAAAGTGTCCCTTATAAGTCCATAAACATGAGGGCTGCTGTTTAAGTTGCTCTTTCCTAACTTAGTACTCTGAAGCTACTTCTAAAAATGTCCTTCTGGCTTCATAGAAACCAAGCGTTGGCCCTTGGTACTTTTTCCAATTAGAGCCGCTTATTTTTACTATTTGTATATGGAAAGCAGATGGTTCACAATTTTTCTTTTACATGTAATTCTTGGGAATATTAGTTTGAGATCAAGGGAGATAACGTTAACCTTTAAGAAAATAATATTGATTTTACAGTAAGCTAAGGAAACATTCACAAAACTCTCAAGCCTACGTAGGAAGAGGCAGTGGCGGCAGGCATAGATCATGTCCATAGAGCAGAGTTTGTACGTCTGTCTGTCCTTATTAGTGGATATACTGTTTTAATAACAAACCAATGTTCTGAACAAGCAGGCCACTCTTCACATAAAAAGGAGCTGGGGCACTAGAGGCAGAGCACAATCAGATGATTATCATTTTCTGAAAAACATGTTTTTATAACATGTTCTTGTTCTCACTGATGCTCACATTGTAAATTGGGGAATATTGAGAAAATTGAGTCACCAGTTCCCTGGGTTTGAGATTAAGTTTCTTTGCAGGCAGATAAGCTCTTTATTCTGAGTATTTCCTAAATCTTTTCCAGAGCACTGGCTAAATGCCTTTGTGTAGGGTAGCCATTGGAGTGATTGGCCTCTTCTTCAGTGGCTGAACTTGGACCCTTAGCTTCATACCTTTGGGGATGTTTCTGTTCATATACAGATTTTATTTGGACCCACTTTGTGCTGGGATAATTACGAGTGAGTCCTTTTATGTCAGTCTTCGTTTGGCTCTCGTTGAAATTCAGCCAGGCGAGCAGATCTTAACAAGCTCTAACCTTACACTGAGCCTCTGTCTATGCCAATGGATTACTGTAAGAGTGACTAGATCTGTTAAAAACAAAACATACATTTGGCCATTGTGGCTTTTGTAGGTTTGTGTCAACCTTTTCCAAGTTCTGCATTGGCTGGTTTTGACACCCTGAGGCTTCAATCGGGGTTTCTGGTTGAACAGTTCTAAGAAAAAGGAAATTTTGAAACAGTGCATTTTTTACCTTAAGTTGGAACCCTGAGTTTTATATATGACTCTCCTGCAATAGGATGGTTATTGGCACAGTGCTTGTGTGTTTTGAGGTCTGATGATTTCATTTAGTGTACTGAAGCTGCTAACAGCTTTCCTGGCCTTTTTGGCTGACACCCAAATAGCATCGTGATAGTTGTCCCAGGTGTTCTGGCAAAGTCTGGGCCAGTTTTCAGGTCTGCAGGCTTTTTGTGTCTCCTACACTAATATTGTTGGATGCCTCTGTAGTCCAATAGCAAGTGCTGCCCTATGCCACTTTGTGTGACTTTGATTTTTATGATGTGAAAATTGTTTTAATACTTTGTCATATCTTTAAGCGGATGTAGAGGTGAGACAATGATTTCAATTTGCATTTCGAGTGTTGAGTTTGCTGTGACTAATTTGGACCTTTGTTACCCATGCTGCAAATGTCACAGATTTTGCATCTTCAAAGTTGAAGGTTTTAGTTTTTAATGACATTTTATTGGAGATAGATTAATCTATTTTAGCTCCTACTTTAAACTGCATAGGAGGAAAATTGTCAAATGAGAAAAGTTGATGTATTATTTATTTTTTTAAAATATTATTACTGTATTTCACAAAAACTCTGGAATTCTGTTGGCCCTCTGTTTGTAAAATAAATATTTGCCTAGATAGACAATTTGGGAGATAATAGTGCTTTTCTGCTGGATCTCCAAGCCTAGTCCTCTTTTGTTTCCTGTTGTAGAAAAGGAATATTAATACCTCCACTTCCCTTGCCCAATTGCGACTAGAAGATAGGGTGAACATATAAAAACCACAGCTGCTCTTGCATTTTAAATTTGACAGGCAGCAGATAGAGACAGAAGATTTCTTAGGGAACTTAGTCTCGTAGGCATTTGAATCAAGGCCAAACTAAGGGCCAAAATGTTTTTCTAGGAGTATCTGGGAGTTCTTGTCCCCCCTGGATTGCAAGCTAAAGGCTTTGGGCTACATATGGGCAGCGTTTGACTGGCTGTGACACGTGTGAGCTATGGCATACAGCAGTGGTTTACGAGGGTGAGGTAGTCACGCTCCCAACTTTTGGGGACTTCCATAAAACCCCTAGGGGTGGTGAAGGGGCCAAGGTTCCTCAAGGTGTGATTGTGAGTATTTGACCCTAGCTCCTGGGAGCTCCTGCTCCAGCCTTCCTTGGAGGTCTCTCTTTCTTCAATGCCCCTTGTCCCCCTGGTGCAGAAGGTCTCTGCCACCCCTGGCATCTGTGCCCATCGGTGCCACAGCTCCAGTCCCCGCTGTGCAAAAGGGCTGAGCTCCAAGGAGCCTCCTTCTGCTCTGGCTCTGAAGTTGCTGCTGGGCCAGCATCACGTGTGCGCCATCCTGTCGTCTCCTCACTTTTCTTTTTTCACCATTACTACAGGGCCTCTGTGCATTTTAGATCCTACTAATTTATACTTTAGCCTTCTCATCTTTAGAAACTTTCAGGTGTCTGTTTGGATAGACCTGAGGTTTTCCTAACAAGTCTGTTAGAGTTAGTGGCCATAAATGGAGATACAAATGGCAACACCCCCTCCTAGCAGAGAAAAACTATTCGCAGAAATTGTGATGTAATTTGCACCAAAAATACATCCTACAGTATCAAATCTGACATGTTTTTATAGTTTAAAAACATTTAAAAATTCTAAACTTTTGTTACATTTCTGATTATTTTTCTAAATCCACAAGAATCTTCAAGAACATTAAGATATTTGCATTCCTTACACTGTACAATTATTAATCCCCTTATCTGGCTTGGAGTTCTCTGTGGGTGAACATCTTCTTGGGATGATCTGGATTTTAGATTTTTCCACCAGACGCAAAGGAAAAATGTAAAAGAGAGATAAATAAGCAAATTCAAACTCAGCATGCTGCTTATTGAAAAATCTTTCATTCTAGTAAATTCATTTGACCTCTCATTCTCCGTGAAATTAAAAAAGTCACAGCCTTGTTTGACTTGTAAACTGACTTACGATGTGTATGTGCGTGTGTGTGTGTGCATACAATCCCTGCTATACTAGGTAAGTGCTGTGTGCGGTAGCAGAAATGAGGAAAGAATGGTGCTAAAGGAAAGAAGGTCATGGAACCAAGTCAAGTACAGAAGGGGTCATTCATAGGACGAGTGGGTAGGATTTGATTTTCTCTGTTAGTTCTGTGATTTCATTGCCACAAAATTAACTAATGGCTATGTTGATATATCTATTTATTTTTAATAGATTGGGCATTACTCTATATACAGTGATATCTAAAGGATATTTGTAATTTAATTGCGATTACAGTTGTGCAGCAAACATTTGAAAATTGGGGCCAAGAATGGATTTTAACTGGGACAAGTAAAGTTAGGTATATGCTGGAAAGGGTTTATGGATGGAAACTGCGACAAGCTAAGTGACCATTACACAGCCATCTACAGATCTGGCAGAGGGGATCTATGGTACTTTCTGGTTTAACCTTAATATTTGTATTCAAGGGGTGGCTTTAGTTATAGCATCATAAGCATCAGACTGCAGGCAACACACTGACCTCAGAAGTTGCATCTGTAGTTCATAGGAGAAAGGAAATGGATCAGTAGTGAAATCAGGTTAGTGGTACATTTTTTCATCCCTGCCAAATCTGGTCCTGAAGGTGGAGTACTAGTTTTCAATTAGTAAGTGTGAGAAGCATTGATCAAATTATGAAAATACATACTGAAGCTGCCACGTTCATGAATGAGGATAGCGCTGTGTGTGTGTGTGTGGACATGTTTAGCTCAGATGTCTAATCTGAAGCAGTCACGGTGGGAGTGTGACATCCCTTTGACTGACCACAGCTTTGAATTTGGCATCTCCAGTTGGATAGAGGTCATGGCTCTCCAGGGAAGCAATTGGTCCCTGCAGACCTGGGCTTTCTGAGTGCATTTAGCTGTCATGGGGCACCGTGCCCCTGGAATCACTCCCTAGGGGACACCATGAGCCTCAAAGAGAATTCTGTAATGAACAGCAGATTTTTTTCTGCCTGTGACAGCAGCTTTCCTTCTCTATGTGGAAAGCAGAATTTGCCTCTGTGTGTGCCCTGTGTGCTACACCCATACTTGGTCTAGCTCAAGTATGTCAGCTCTAATACCAAGAGGTATTGGACTGCAACCAGTGTGCACGTGTGTTACTGCTTCTTTTTTTTCTGGTTTGTTCTGTATTTTTTCTTACTTCCTGTCTCTCTTTCTCAAAGGCCTCGCACACCTGATGATGGGTGAACAAGGTAAGTCCTATGACTTTCTCTTTCTTCCAGTCACTGATTATGAAGGAGCTTTGTCTGTGTTTCATTTCTGAGCTGGACTTTGCATGAGAAAAGCAGCTGGGCCTAGAGGATGCATTTGCCAGCCAAGCCATTTGCATTTTTGCCTTTCTGTGTCCCATGAGCCGTGGCTACATGTCAGTCTCGGGCCTCTGTTACTAATGCCCTGGAGGGATAGTCTAGAGAGCGTGAAATGATTCCACTGTCAGGGAAGAGAGATGTTCCCTCCTTCCATGCAGCCCATCAACTATTCTATCTTGCCATTTCTTTCTTCTTGTTCCTTGCTATAATGGCTCCCTACTCTGCTAAAAAAAATGTAGACTTCAGTATTGGTCTCTTTTTAAGAGCACAATTATTAAAGTATGTTAATAGCCCTTGTGGCATGGTCCTAACTCATTATGAATCCTAAAGAAAATTGCATATAATGGCCTCTACGTCCTGTGTCTGCAGTTTAATATATTCAAATATGCACAGAGCAAAATGTTTCAGAACATGAACAGGGCTAACCCCAGGCTGGGCTACAAATGAGATCTAGGCCTGCGTCAAAGTTCACATTTTAGTATCTCAGCCTACGTTGTGTGAGGGATCTATGGACTGTGATGTGATGGGGTCACTAGTCCCTTCTGCCTACTCTTACACAATGTGGAGGTGTGGAGAGGAGCTTGCAGATATGTTGGGTATGCAGCAAAGATTTGGGAGCCCTGTTGATGCATTCTGGTCTCGTGACTGCAGCAAGGAAATGGTAAATGAACTCTACAAGGTGTGTGAGGAGAGAGATCTGCAAGTAAGGCAGGGAGGCTCGATCTCAAAGCACACGGTGTGCTAGAAGCCCCAGGCCGCCTCTTGGGCTCTGTGAAGACAGTGTGAGTTTTTAACTGTAGCTTAGTTCTGCCTCTAAAGCCTTGATGAGGCTTTCCTTGACTTCATATGCACAACATTTTTTGCCTTTGAGTAAACAAGTATCTGAGGTTAAACAGTCCAAAGAGTTAATAAGATAGAATATAGTGCTGAAAAGGCTCAAGGGTAATTAGGTACTTGAATACAAGGAACATTGTTTCTATCTATCTCAATGATGTGTAGAGAGATGTAGGACATGATCTATCCTACAGATTTTATTCTGTAGTTTAAGGCAGGTGTCTCCTCTGAGGTCATGAAGGCTTGGGAAACTCTCAGAACATAAATTGAGGCTCAGATTTTTGTAGTCCAAGTGGTAGGAAAACCATCCCTTTAAGACTATATGCCAAAACATTGCAATTTGGCAATCAGGGTACCTGTCTAGGCTCTGGGAAGGACTTTGCCTCTCTATTTCTGCTGGTTGGTCAGCGGGGCTTACCGCTCAGCAGCAGTCATGCTTGTTGAAGGGGCATCAAGTGAAAGGTCCCTTCACCATATCCCCCTTGCTAAGAGGCAGCTGCGTTTGGCAACCTGTTGGCAAAGGAAGGTGGAAGCCTTCTTGGGAGTTACCAGGAGAGTGAACCTTCCTGGCCGTTCTGTTTCAGTGATACTGAATGCATCTTTGTAGCAGTCTGTGATTCGGCAGTGGATTATATCAGCAGACACACTTGGCCATTTAAATTAGAAGAAGCTGGCTCATGGAGAGTGATACAATGTATTCAGTGCAGTTGCCATCAACCCTTTCTATATTCCCTTGTATGGCAAAAATGTGAAAAGTGTGGGCTTCTGGCATCTTTAGCCACCCTTATTTATGCAACATGGATCAGGGAGCAGTGGCTTATATTTTCGTGCCAAGCAATTCAGATACTCTGTTTTGATAAATATTTGCTGTCTATAAAAATATGATGCATATAAAATATGTAAATGCATATGTGTGTAAATATGCAGTGTCAATATTATATACAAATACATTAGCTTTGGTAGTGTTTAGCAAATATACTACCATGAGATTTGTTTCTTTCTGTCCTGCTTTGGTGTTTCTATTTGCTGTTTTGAATTTGATGTGGTATGAGGCATATCACTGGCATGCTATTGCATGAGAGGTTTGCATTTCTCTGTAGAAAATCAAATTAAAGCCAAAGGGCTTAACCAGACAGTGTCTAGATGTACTGTCAGTTGTTTAAGCCTTGCTTTGTGCTTTAGTTCTGGTGTGTCCCCTTTTTTCCCCTTGGCGTTGTGTTTTGTGGGATTTGATTGCCACACATATTTGCTCACTTTTCCTGTTTTCGTAAGTATGGCCAGTGATGTGATTTTTCTGTTTTTCATGCTTCTTCCTCCTCTTTTGCCTCCTTTCTGATGGACACTCCTTTTATTCCTCTTCTAAACTGGACGCACACCTTCCTGTCTGTAGGTAGAAGCAAAGGTAGAAGTTGCTTTCTTTCTTAAATCTTATTTTCCTGTAAAATGTTTGTTTGTATTTTTGTGAACATAGTTCATACTAGAGCTCAATGCCTTTTCCTAAAGAGCCTCTTACCAGTTTTTGGTTTGGTACGGCATGATGTGGGAGGTATGTATGAAGATGACCGCTTGGAGGCCTTCACTGCAGGTCCCTGCTTCTTGGCACTCACAATAGAGCCCTGCACAGTGCCAAGCGCTTTGTAGCTGAGGACAGCACAACGTGACTTAATGTTTTGGTCAAGGACAGTGACAGAAGCGAGAGGCTGGTGAGCAGGGCCTGATGACTCTCTTGCATTGGAGTGTTGTCACTGCTGGAATTTTGACACTGGTATGGGGGGAAGCAGGATCTGGGCTTACGGAGTCCCCTCCAGCCATGGTGGACTTGGGCGTCTCCCCGAAGCCGCTTTGTTTCCCACTCTCCTTGTTAGTGATGTGTTTTTCTGAGAGGAATTGCACTGCGAAGAGCCGTGGAGGAGACGGGAAATGATCGGCATTGCTAAGCAGAGAGTCCATGTGCTTTGCAGCTCATTAAGGCCCAGTGTATGAAGCCGTGTGGCTGCTGCATGGCTGCAGCGTCCCTGTCAGCCCTGCACACCTATCTTCAGCACGCAAGCAGGGCAGTCATCCATCGCTGATCAAAGCTGTCAAAAAGGCAAAACCCTGCTAACCTGCCCTGGGTTTCCAGGGAGCTGGAGGAAAGGAAGAAGGTGAATTGATAAGTTACAAGCATTACTTGAGTAAAATCCATTTCTTTGTCCTACTTTCCAATGAGACTGAGAGATTGAAAGGTTTTGTTATGCTGAATATTACCCATTTTCTACAAGCACATTGAAGAAGCTGATCTCTTGATCAGTGTGATTTGAACCCATTGGCTGATAGTGGGTGTTTCCATGCTGATAAGATATTGGGGAAGAAATGACTAATGGTGCCACTACAGATTTGGGAGAATATGAGAGCTCAGAGGATTTATTTGTAATAACTTTCCTTTGAGGCACAAACAGTCTCTGCCCAGTGATCACGCCTCTTATAAAATCTGAGTTCTAGGGAGCACAGTGTGTTTCAGCACTTCCTCTTCCTGATGCCCTGCCGCCTTCGAGCAGGTTTGTATTTTGGATTCTTTGTGATGGGGTGCCTCAGGTAATTGATAGGATTTGTTGAGTTCTCAGTTTGAAAAAATATCCCACTAATTGATTTTATAACTATTCTATCTAGCGTTGTGGGGAGGAAGGTAATATATAAGCTGTACTCTAAGTCATCTTCTTAGCAAGAGATGTGCAACATTATCACAAATATACCCCATACAAATGCAGGAATATAAAGCTCTACAGACACACTACATTACCATGACTCAACACAGCTGCCAGTAATTGAGTTAGCTGATGTACACCTTAGTGTGACTTAAGGGTCAGTGTAGCTCGTGGAAAGTCTTGTAGAGCGGTGTTAGCTAATGTTGCTCCTTTTCTCAGGCAGCGTTCGCACTGCGGGCAAGGTGGTGCAGGACTGAACAGCAAGTCTTGTCTGAAACAACCCTCCCCACAAGCTGAGCTTCTAGGAATATGAATTGTAATATGTAGTCCACAATTAGTTTCATATGCACTGAAACTTAATTTGTCATGCCACTGAGTGAAAATATTGTTTCAGTTTCCAGCGAAGTGTAATTTTTAGCTCTAGTTATAGCAAGGGACTTTGTCAAAGAACCACCATTTTGAATGAAAAATGGTATTACTTTCAAAGGACTTAAGCTGTGTAATTCTGAACCCAGGTATGGCCTTCAGCTCACAGAGGAGGTAGTACAGGATGCCCTAGGCATTGTAGCTGGATGGTTCATATTTTTTGACATTCTCCTAATTTTTAGTGAAGATTGGCAGCCACTCTGTATTGTGCTGTATATGTAGCCAGAAGATATGATGTATTTGATTGTTTAAAACCTCTTCACAAGGTGTATCAGTCCGTGACCTTGCATACATCACGTGGAACATGTCTTGCATTAATTGTTTCCTCAGTAATAAATAGCATTTCTATGCACTTACTCTTCTAAAAGATCAGCAGATTTTTGTTGTTGTTGTTAAGCTCCTGGAAAGCTGAAGAAGATGAAGTATAGGTATTTTGGGATAATGGCTGGAGTAGTCAAAATAAAGAAAAGCATCTGTGCAGCGCATGTGTTTCTACCTGAGCTGAGTAAATATGCATTACTTTTGTTTGCATTAGGTGTATGAAACTAGTCACAGAGATGAAGTAAATGTATGATCATCAGGAAGGTTTTTTATTTTGTTTGGCATGAGTTGCAGAAAATAGCTTCTCTTCTGGAGAGGAATTGACAATTAAGGAACAATTATATTGAGTTTACTTCCCTAATACTCCCCTACAAATAAATGAAACCCAAGTAGATCGTAAATATCCAATTCTAATTTGTTGTAGAACTGAAGTTAATGTATAGTCATGTTTTTTTCATGTCATTTGTTCTCTGGACAACCTATGGTTAAAGAAATGATAGTCTGCCTTTTGGCTGCCCTTCACCCTTCTCTCATTCTTGTAGTGCTTTTTGTTTGGTTGTTGCTCATGGTTTGGATCTGACTTATGCTGAAGTTCATGTCTCCAAAGAAAAGTGGCCTTAATTCTGATGAGATCTTCTTTTCAGTGGAGCTTTCTTGGGAATAGATTTCACTTAGTCAACAAAATCCCGAGCTGGCCTGAAGGCGATGGCAGAATTCCCACTGAATTAGGCGAACCCAGGTTCATCTGGAGCGCTGAGAAGCCCCAGCATCCTCTGGCGTCACGTGCCGAGTGGCAGGGGGGAACACGCAGAGCCCCAGTGCCCCCATGTTGGTGGCTGCAGCCCCAGCAGGCACCTCTGCGGCCTGCCCCGTGCTCGGCAGGGAAGCCCGAGCGCTGCACGCGGATCTCCAGCGCGAAGCGACGTTTGCTCTCGCTTCGGAGAGAGGTGAAAGAGCGCTCCCCTGTTCCAGGCTTGGGACATTGTTTAAGTGCATGTTATGTAGACTAAATGCCAATGGCAAATATCCTCTGAAGTTCTCAGCACTGAAAAATCAGATTATCTATCTCCCTTGTCCCAAACTACTCTTAACCCTGGTAAGTCTCTGATGCTCGGCATTGCTCCCAGTAAGCAGGGTGAGGTTGTTATTTTGTCAAATTGTTCGATAATATTGACCAGGAGGTAATGGCACAGAAAAAAAGAAATAGCATTTGTGGACTCTGATAGAAGGAAATGACTGGACCTTACTGATGTGGAAAATAATTTCCAGATCTTCTTTGCCAATACCACCATTAGGATTTCAGAGCCATGTGAGTAAGTCCAGCTGAGTGGCCAAGGGTTTATGCAAATGTTGAAGCAAAACATTAGTAACAAATTAAACCATTTGTGCTCTACAAATATCTAATTATAAAGAGGGGAAAAAACACCACTACATTCATCTTGCCAGCCTTGGCTGTGGTTTATAAGCTCTTGATTTGTCCTGTAAAATATCTGAATGATATTTGGGTTTTAAATGTAAATGCTTCTTTCTCCATTTTTAGATTTCTACATCTGAAGTCCTTTCTTTAATGATTTTTAAAATGTGTGTGTTTGCTTTGGTTTTCATTTTGAAAATAAAAAATAGTATTATACATCTTAAATTATTAGAAGGACGGTGACTTTCAGTTTTAACTCCTGTTTTAACGGTTTTTTTTTTTTTAATGGCAATTTATTTTAGGTTTAGCAAATACCCAATCCATACAACTTCTGTGATAGAACCAAGGCCTCTTGAATACAGACTTCATTTTGCATGAATCACCTTTTGTTAGGAAGCCTTTTCTGCTGGTCTCATATTTTAGTTAGGGAAGAAACATGTATTTTAATCTAATTCTTATAGATCAATCTAGAGAGGCCTGATAGCTGCTGCATTTCAAATATAAGGTATTGGGGGATGTTCTACAAGACATTCATCCTAGTTTTCTATATCCCAGAGCTGGTGAAATTTTTGGTAGTTTGTTTAAAAAAATCACTAAGATGTTCAATATCAACCAGAAAGAAAATATGTCTTATAAACATCCTTCTTTTTACACTTTTGCATAAGATATTCTTAAAGAGAGACAAATGAGATATTAAATAGGACATTCCTGATAAATTATTTTTGCTTGCGCTTATAAGCCAGTATGTTTACAAACCATGTTCTATGCATAAAGAATTTAATAAGCTATTAAACATTTTGTAGCTTGCAGGCAATTTACTTCAATTTTCTTCAGTTCTTCAGTGCTTTTGCTCTGCCTTTTTTTTTTTTTTTTAAATCATGTGTGAATAAACTGCTGATTCTTGGTTGGCTTTTGTTTTTATTAAGAAGGATGATTCCTGTGAGAGTTTAAAGCATTGCGGTTATGTTGTGTGTAAACAGGAGCTAAAATATTGTCCTCTTGTGCTGTACTGTAGTCATCTGGTTTTGATGGGGCTCAGGTTTCATGCTGCCCAAAGAGAATATTTAATTGATACTATTGAAAAGCTTTTTATTCTCCCCTTCTTCTTTAATTTGAGGCATTCAGTGGTGTGTAGAGATGCAGAGGTAGCAAAACAGGCCATATGTTTCAGAAAAGCCAGACTAATAGCACTTTTGATGGACGTCTGATTTTTAAAGTGCTGTATCTTTCATTAAAATTTACATGTAAAGTAAGGGCAAGCACAGTGACATGAAAGCTAATGCAAGTTGCACATCTTGACATAATAACAATCACAAGAAACTGGAGATCCCAGATGGCAGCTTGGCCTTTGCCATCCTTTTAATAAGCTACTAACTGCTAATTATTGCACTCTTATGGGCAAGTTAATTTACTGTTGACTCTTAAAGAGACATTGTGCCTTTTCCAGGCATTTAGGTTTTTCAGTTAAGATCTGAAAGTGTTTTTTTCCTGCAGGTTGGAGCCCTTCCAACGGACAGTAACAAAGAGGCAAAGGAACAGAGACAGGAAAATGGAGCT